GTCGATTGTAGATGATTCATGGAAGGAGACGTACATTCGATTAATGAATCTTATTGTCTTTTGAGATGAGATCTCCTTTTTATGTTTCTTAGACCTTTGAGCATCCCTGACCGCATGACAAAATGGACAATTTTTTCGCCCACTCGAATTTTTATGTCATCATTCCCTTTTACAGATTCTGGTCTGTTGATGACTCCATGATCCATACAGAATACTCAGCTTTGCGTTCCATCGTCGTGACAAACCACGAAGAGACCATCAAAATGCCCATAAATGAGCCAGCAATGGGAAAGAAGGCCGTGTCGCAGATTCAGGTGAAGATCCTTCAATATAACAAATTTTTGGCTGAGAATAAGCTAGATCGTTGTAGGAATACGTCGATTACTACGGTGGCGCAGGAGTACAGCACATAGCTCTGAACACGAGCGACATCATCAGTGCCATCGAGGCACTTCGAGCTCGTGGCGTCGAGTTTTTGACGATTCCGAAGTCTTACTACGACAATTTACGGACAAGATTGAGCAAGAGCGGCACAAAGGTTTAAATACCCAACTTTTTGGATATAGGTGACGGCATGTGGATTTTAGATTACCGAGGACATGAACCGTCTGCAAAAATTGCACATTTTGGTTGACTTCGACGAGAATGGCTATCTCCTACAGATTTTCAGCAAACCATGTGAAGACCGACCAACACTATTCATAGAAGTCATTCAGCGGCATAATCATCAGGTAAGAATATAGAATATGTATGTACTCAGAAACACCATATTTGTGGAACGCTGCTTGCTAAAATGGTCTTTGAATCATTCGTTGTCAAACTTTATTTTTTTGCAGGGCTTCGGTGCTGGAAACTTCAAAGCTTTGTTCGAATCCATAGAACTGGAACAGAACGAGCGTGGCAACTTATTCTATGAAGATGTGGCAACTGGTGGAAAGAAAATCTAGAAAATCTCGATGAACACGAGATTTGATACCCAAAATAAATGTGTTTTCTATGCATCTGC